ATTCGAATTCGTTCGATTTCGTATTGCCGACGCCATCTTGAAATAGAAAGTTTTATGGAAATTGCGAGTTATTTTTCAATCCATTTCGAGATTTTTCGTAAATGTTTAATTACAAAAACCCGAATAACGCAGGCAATGTAACGTTTTTTTATTTATAAGCGATCAAAATTGAATAATTGTCGATAGAATATTAAGTAAAAGTCTTAAATTTTACTTAAAATATTTAAGGTTGTTTCCACTTAGCATCGAATTAAATTATCAGATTATAAATGATATTCGCTTGTATATCGTCTTATATTCTTTTGAATGAAACAATAAATGTTTTATATTAGAAAATGGTTTTATTATTAAATTAATTAGTTAATCAATCATCTCGATTTTTTCTATTCTTAATATTTAAATTCTTAAATTATTCTAGAAAGAAGTATCATTCTCAAATTTTATAATCCACTTTCCAAAGAAACATGGAATCATTTTAAAAACTTCTTTGCTCAAAAAATTAACAAAGGAAAGGTAAGACTTTTTTATTTTCATTCTAATTCTGTACATTGATGCAGTAGAAAATAGTATATAAAAGTTTAGAATCCTCATTGATGAATCTAAGAATTTATTGTAGTAGAATGATGCTTGAAATGTAATGTTATTTATTCATACATTCAATATAATCCAAATTGCAATTTTAATTAAAAGTAATAAATTAGTACTTCAAATTATATTTATTTCATATCAAGATAAATTATAAACATTTAAGAAAAACATTAGCAGAGAGTTTAAATCATAATATAATTTTGTTTTTTTAGATTATCAATGAGTAATTAATATGAATTTATAATGTCTACCTATTAATAACAGGATTTATTTTAAAAAATTAATTCTTAGCTTGTTATTTCAATTATCAAATAGTACATACACTTATACAGTTTTACATATACAAGTAGGCTATTTAATATTGGTATTGATTTATAAGAATTGATCAATAAGAATGTTTCCCTATTATACTGATTATATATATCTTTTTATTCCTTTTCTATTAATTTTAATATATTTTATTGAGAACTTTGATATTATTATTATATTATATATAATATAATATGTAATAACAATATATATGATGTATTATTTATAATTTTTTGTGTGATTGTATAGTAAATATATTTGAATTTTATCTTGTATTATTGTGATGAAGAACAATTTCTTCCCCAATTTAAGAACTAATTGTTTTATATATACAAATAAAACTTTAACTTATCAAGATTTCACTTGACTTTTGTAATATTTCCTTATTAAGAATTGTTTTATTGAATTTGGGTAATTTTTGAGAATTGGGGCAATTTAACACCATTGCTCATTAATAAAGTACATAACT